CCTTGCTTGTTAAAAGTGAACAGCACTTGAAGCACTTACCGATGAAGATCAAAGACTATATATTGAAAAGTGCAAAGACCTGTTGTTGTTGTTATGTGCGTCGAGTTGGCCCCGACTCATAGTGACCCCTGCTTGTGTTTCTGAGGTTCACTACGGAAGTAGATTGCCCAACCTTCCTTCCGAGGAGTGGCTGCTGGGTTTGAACCGCCAGCCTTCACGTTAGCAGTCATGTGCCTTAGGCACTATGCTACCAGAGCTCCTGCAAAGATCTAGAGTTAGAAAATCAAAAGGGAAGAACACGCTCAGCATTTCTCAAGCTAAAAGAACTGAAGAAAAAAAATTCAAACCTTGACTTGCCTCAAATATTGAAGGATTCTATGGGCAAAATATTAAACAAAGCAAGAAGCATCAAAAGAAGGTAGAAGGAATCCATAGAGTCACTTTACCAAAAAAAAAAAAAAAAAAAAAATGGTTGACATTCAGCCATTTCAGGAGGTAGCATGTAATCAAAACCCAAGGATACTGTAGAAAGAAGTCCAAGCTACACTGAAAGAATTGGCAGAAAACAAAACTCCTCACAACTGGACCAATAAGCAACATTTGGATAAATGAAGAAAAGATAGATATTGTCAGGGATTTCATTTTACTTGGATCCATAGTCAACACTTGTGTAAGCAATGTCAAGAAATTAAACCTCATTTTGCAGTGGAGACATCTGCTGCAGAAGACCTCTTTAAAATGTTAAGAGTAAAAATTTCACTTTGAATACTAAGGTGTGCCTATCCCCAGCCATGGTATTTTCAGTCTCTTTATACATATGCATGTAAAAGTTAGACAATGAATAAGTAAAACTGAAGAAGAGTTGATGCCTTTGAATTGTGGAGTTGAGTAAGAATACTGAAAATACCATGGACTGACATTAGAACAAACAAATCTGTCCTTGAAGAAATGTAGCCAGAATGCTCCTTCTAAGTGAGAATGGCCAGACTTCATCTCACCTACTTTGGTCATGTTGTCAGAAGGGATCATTTCCTGGAGAAGGATACCATGCTTGTTAAAGTGGAGAGTCAGCAAAAAAAGGGAACACCCTCAACAAGATGGGTTGACACAGTGGCTGAAATGATGGGGTCAAGCATAGCAAGGTTTATGAAGATGGCACAGGACCAGGCAGTGTTTCCTTCTGTTGTCCATAGGTCACTGTGAGTCGGAGCCAACTCAACAGCACCTAACAACAATACATAGATACAGATATAGAATATTTTACCCTGTGAATATTTCTAAAGTCTGTAGTTTATCTTTAGTGGATTAGTCTGCCTCTGAAATTGAGAATATTGAATTTCTGAAGATAATCTCTTGGGTTATCCCAATGTCAGTAGTTATTTGTTATTATGTCTGACTTCGAACTGTGCTAGGTAGGAGAGGAGCCTGGCTTTTAAGAAAGTTATATATGTATGGATGCATAGACACACACATGCACTTTTAAGTATTTAGTGCAATGATAGTTATCTATTTGGTGATTTTGACTAAACAGATTAGACTGTTGACCATGTGCGTCTATCAGTTATCCAGATTGGATTGTGAGAAGTGGGTAGCAACTGATTACAGATTTGAAAAAGACCTATTTGATAAATGGTGAGGCAGGATAATCTTGGATTTTTTGGTCAGATTAGAAATTTACTACCTCAAGATAGATCACTTTAAGATACTGCTTACTAAACTATGGTGTGACCAGCCTTATCTCAGTTTCCTTCTTGATTATTTTTATCTCTGTCAGTTAAGACATACTACAGGGATATAAGATAGTCTGAGTCTCTGGTTGGTTGTTTTCCCAGAAGAAGGAAAGAATATGGTTTTTGAAATTTGAGATTTACTTAAGTTAATATTTTGTTACCAGCCTTATCTCAGTTTCCTTCTTGATTATTTTTATCTCTGTTCAGTAAGACATACTACAGGGATATAAGATAGTCTGAGTCTCTGGTTGGTTGTTTTCCCAGAAGAAGGAAAGAATATGGTTTTTGAAATTTGAGATTTACTTAAGTTAATATTTTGTTTTTGCTTTTTTCCCTCAATAGTTTATATCTTTTGAAACAAAACATAATGTTTCATAGATTTGGAGTACTTAATAAACACTTGTGAAATAAATAAATGAATAAAACAACCAAAAATAATCATAGCGACTGAGTTCTGTACTCATAACACTTGGTGGTTCTGTGGCAACTGAGTTACTCTGTATTCAGAAAGCTATTAATTTGTCTTACTTTTGTTTGTGTTTTTTGTTTTTGTTTTGTTTTCCTTTTCTTTTTGTATCTGGGAGAAGATATAGACGATGACCTAATAATTATTCAAATTTATCTCAATTAATCTCTTTTTGATCTTTTTTAAGGACATCGACATTTATTAATGACATTTTAATGATGATGTCAGATATTTCCGATACTTTATGACTTACAAAATAGTTTACTTATTTTATTTAATTAACTCAAAGATCCTATAAGTGTATTCATTTTCTCAACTGAGAAATTTGAAGATTTTGTAAAATGTCCAGAGTAAATGGGAAAACTCAAACTAGATGGTGATCTTCTTTCCCCTATACTTCACCTGGAGGGCCTATAAGAAAATAAATTTTGATTTTAAAAAAGATACACATTTGAAAATATTAGTTCATATCTTCATATTTCTCTTGTATATTCTATGTAATAGAATATATGTAATATGTTAGAGATACAGCAAAGTGTAAAGCATGGCCTCTAGAAAAACAAGAGAGAGACATAAAAAGAGAGGTAGTGATACAAGATAATAATTTGTGTAAAACGAATAGTTTCAATTATGAATGTTGTGGAGAAAGGAAAGAAGGCTGTGAACTGAGACTGCTATGGCTGACTGAGATGAATTGGGCTATTCTAGAAGCTAGAAGGAGGGGACCACATAGATGAACCAGTACAGGAGCAGAGAATATTCAAGACATGGAAAGCAAGGAAAAATAAGGGAGATATGGGAACTCTGAAGCCTTTGGAGTAGCTTATATACTACAAGATTTGTGAGAGGTGTGGTCAGAAAGGCAGGTGAGGATCACATTTAGAGGGGTTTGAATTCAGGGCTAGCAACTTAGTATTTTATCCTATGGGCAATGGGAAACCACTGATTATTTTGGGAGGGGGGCATGGCATATTGCAGACAGCACACTCTATTTTTCTTTCTTCCCCAAAGTTAAGGCACCTGAAGATCAGAGCCTCCCTTATTCAATAATTTAATCTAGGAACTACACAGATACTACCATGGATAACATGCTTCAGGATATTGTGTGTGTGTGTGTGTGTGTGTGTGTTGGCAAGGGCTGGAGATGGAGGTGGAGTGTGTGACAATGGCAATATCCATTGCAGAGTTACATTCTCTGTATGTTAACCTACGACGAAAAAAAGAATCTGTAAACATGAGATGACAATAATGAGGTCCTGATAAAACAAATGATTAACCTGGAAAAATATAAGAATATAAAAATTTAAGGGTATAATGGTCAAAGGCTGAAGTTTAATGGGCAGTTTAACCCTTGGGATTTATCCAGTTGCTGACAGTTTAAGTAGCCAACGGTGTCATTTTATTTCAACATTGAGATTACCCTGGGAAGCTCACATTCTGCCTTTCTCATGTCTAAACTGCCTGCTGCCAAGCTCCTGCAGTTTTTCTGTCAGAAGAGATGAAATGTGGCTTTTTGTGGAGCCACCTTTCACAATAAGAAGTCTTGTGTAAAGATTCCCCATTTTCTAGATGCAATGAACCTCATGAGAACTTGAAATCCATCCCACAGTTCTGCCAATCAGTGTTTCAGCTATAGTAAGTTAATTGGCAATAGTGGTTTTTTTGTTTGTTTGTTTTGTTTTCTTAAAAATGTCCTGGAAATGGTGAAAGACATATTGTCATGAAAAAAAAAAAGACTAATGATAATGTTTAAAATTAAGCATTTTCTAAGTTGACTCCGAGAAAAAAATTCCCCAGTCAGCCTCAAATCCATACTTTTCTGCAGGATTAGAAAGCTTGCAAGTTTATTTAACATATCTGTCTCCTTTTCCTTCTCCTTCTTCCTTGCTGCCCACACTTACCAGGTGTCATTCTGAGAATTTTTCTCTCTGATGACTACTACTCCAACAATGTCACATTTCTTCTTACTACCTTGTGAGTGACTGACATCTCCTTTAGCTTTTTGGAACTAAATTGTTTATAGAGAATAAAGAAATATAAATTGAGCATGTTTCTATTGTTCCTTCTAATTCATATATATTAAATACTTTTAGGCATAATTTAATGGTTTGGCCATATTAGATACATCAATTACTATTTCTTACATTTCTCTTGTGCTTATTCCTGACACTAGGCTTGATAATCTGTGGAATTATCACTGAACCACTAGCAGAAATCCTCATTACTTAATTCATATTATTAATATGAATATAATTCATATTATTCTTATAGCAGGCTTTTTTTTTTTTATAGCACCTTTTAGAGGTTCCTCCAAAGCCTGTATATAATTCTGTCATTGAGATTAAACTGTGCTAAATGTGTTAGAGAAGGTTGTTGCCTAAGATAGAAAAAGACCATTTTGAGCAAATTATTCCATGTGTGATATACTTTATGTTTTGTATTGGTAGTAATGTATTTCACACTATCTACCTGGCTCATCTGATAAATCTGCATAAAGGTTTAAAAGACTAGTTTCGTTCAACAGTAAAACCTGTGGGAGCTAGAAGCTATATAAGGCAGAAACTTGTCAAAGAAGGAAAAGTCAAATATTTTCCATTGATAGCTATAGCAAAGTAGTAAGACTGCACCCTAGCAAAGTGGAAAACTTGTGAAACCAAGATAAATAAGAAGTCCTGATGTGTTCTGGCTCTCACAGATTTCACTATATTTAATGTCATCTTATGTCAGTGCTAAAATAGCAAGTTGATACTTTAGTCACAAATCATATGCATAATTTTTGTCATATTCTTATTTTTCAATTTTAGCCACTTTAATAGAAGATGATTCTATTATTTCAAGTCCTGATGTCACTGATATTGCACCAAGTAGAAAAAGGAGGCAGCGGATGCTAAAGACTCTTGGACCAGAACCTAAAATGGCCTCTCAGGAGCATCAGCTTCAAGAAAAAGAAAAGTAAGTTCTTTATTCTTTGCCCAAATAATGAGATGACATAAAGAAATTCAATACATAATTTGTAAAAGTTAATATTTTTATTTCTGAATTCACTTATAGTTATTTTACTTACATAAGTATAAATATGCATTATATTGATTTATATTACTTAAAGAAATAAAATTATAGTTTAATATTGTAAAATGTTTGAATCAATATATTTAGTCTGGTATTTGGTTAATTCCTATTCATATTTAAATCAGAAGTGCTAAAAATATAAGCAGGAACTCTGGTAGCATAGTGCCTAAGGCACTTGACTGCTAACCAGAAGGCTGGTGGTTCAAACCCACCAGCCACTCCTCAGAAGGAAGATGGGGCAATCTACTTCTGTAGTGATACTGCCTTGGAAACCCAAAGAGGGGTCACTGTGAGTCGGGTCCAACTTGATGGCACATAACAACAACAAAAATATAAGCAAACTTTTTTTTGTGATTTTGTTAACAATGGCATGTCTTGTTAGGTGATGTTGAGTTGGCATGCAGGATACTGAAAATACTAGATCCACCTTGTGTTTAGCAGTGTTTCAATGTAATTTACTGCTTAATAGAGATTCAAATCACATTCAGATTAGCCATTTGATTTCATTATGCTTGGTATTTGTTCAAGTAAAATGTCTCTTTTTAGTCATCTGCTTATTTTTATTAAATTTGGGGATTATATGTTTTGTTTTTAACTGTTTTTCACTCTTTGTTTCATACTACTATCTATCAATTTCAATTCCAGTTTAGTTGTAAAATGAGTTGAGAACTTGCAGTAATTGTTATTTCATTATATTTAAACAAAGACACTTAGAATATTTTCAGTTGAGTGAAAAAAATAATCTGAAAATCATTTGTATGTTTGAATATGTACATATGTGTCCCAATAATTTATTTCTTTTTCTTTAGATTTTCTGCTAATTTAGTAAATAATTATTGAACAATGACTATGTGTTAAATGATATTTTAGACTATGGCAAAGTGGTTTTCAAAGTGTGTACTATGAAGACCCCAGTAAGTCCCCAAGGTCTTCTCAATAAGGCCTTCCCTTTTCAATAAGGTCTTCCATACCCGTGTAAGTCTCTCTCAAGGTGTATGGTTGTCTGAGAGGTTACTCCAACTCTGTCTTCTGTTGCTTCAGTAATGTGTGTGGCTAATTTTGTAGCACAAGTGAATATGTAAGATTATATTCAGCTAAATTTATCCTTGGTCTAGGGTATATTGCTATTCACTGACTCCGACCTGATCTTCTTACTTGTTTATGGATTTATCTGTAGCCTGGTGTTTGGTGTTAGTGGTAATGCAGTATTGTGCATATACTATGACATTCAGTAAATTATTACGCAAGTTAGTAATGGGTGTCATGTACCAAGCATGCTGCTAGATGATAATGATTCAGGGGCATAGAAAATAGACACAGGGTTGTCCTCATTAAACTTTTGGTCTATTTGTTGTTTTGTCTAATAAAGAATTCAGAGTGTGGAGGAAGAAAGTAATATATTAGCTTGATGTTGAAGAGCTATATCATTGACCTTTTCATACTCTGTGTGTGAACTGAAAAAAGGAGCTATGGTGTCCTAGTAGTTAAAGCATTCACCTGCTAACCAAAAGGTCAGGAGTTCAAATCTGCGAACCTACTCCATAGGGAAAAGATGAGGTAGTGTGCTTTTGTTAAGATTCTATAGCCTCAAAAACCCTATGAGGCAGTTCTAGTGTGTCTGAAAGGGTCACTATGAGTTGGAATCGACTGAATGGCAGTGGGTTTGGTTGTTTTGGTTTGTGTGGTCTAAATGTAAGGCTTTGAAGTCACTAACATATTTGGAATATAATGTATTATTACATAGCTTTCAAATACAAATGGTGCAGACATGAAAAAAATTGGCTTTTAATAAAGGCAGTGTGTTTATTTCTGCCAACATGCATGTAGTTAATATTATTTTCCTTTTTTCTTCCTCTTTAGATGATTGAGTCATTGTTCATTTTGTATACTTTTACTACTTTAAAAGTTTATCTAAATTGTATCAGTTTTTTTTTTTTTTTTTAATTGTCTGCTACTTACATCATTGTAGGACATTTGGTCTCTGACTACCTCTAAATAAAAGAGTCCTAGTTGTGCAGTGGTTAAAGCTCTCGGCTCTGAACCTAAAGGTCAGTGATTGGAACCCACCAGCCACCTCTTGGAAAAAAGATGTGGTGGTCTGCTTCTGTAAAAATTTACAGATCTACTGTCCTGTTGGGTCACAGTGAGTTGGAATCAACTCACTAGAGGGTTTGGTTTGGGTTTGGCCTCAGATTACAAGCAAAAAACACTTGCTCAATGTCCAAAAGAGTTAAAAATTAAAGGGTATTTACTTTAGCATATTTATTAATCAGATGTTAAGTGGTTGGTATTCTGCTTTATAATTCGTCTTTTTTCAAACAAAAAGAAATTATGCATTTTGTTCTAATTTTATTTTTTTACACCTGAGAGTATTTCTATTTTGAATACACAAGACTGGGATATTGAGGTTGTATTTAACTGAGATAGATGTAGAACTCATAATATACTTGTTTTAATTTGTATGTGTTCAACTGTTCTCTAAACTTAAGGGTAGGAACCAAGCCTTTATATTTTCTTTTATTCACTCACAGTGCCTAGTATAGTTCCCTGAAGGGGACGTGAATTGCTGTGCCAAGCACTTTGCTTTGTACTTCACGTGCACCATCGTATATAGCTCTTATAACAATCCGTTGAGATGCTATTATTATTCTTACATCACTGGGGAGTTAAAAAGAGATACACAGAATTTAAGTACCTTAACTAAGGTCTCACAGCTTATGAGTGATTTTAAATAATTAGTCAGTAGATTAGTAAACAACAAACACTCCCCTATTCATCAAAGGGAGAAGAGACTGACTTTACTTGGTGAATTATTTCAACTTATTAAATTTAGCCATAACAACCAATTATTATTACCATCATCATTTTTATTTCAGCATTAACCAATCACTATTGTTATTTAAGCTGTTGACTACATGGTGTTTCTTCTCAGTTTGTTATACTAAACAAGATATTACCTGCTTATAAAACTGTATTGTTATTGTTGTTGCTGGTTGCTGTCAAGTTGATTTCAACTCATGGTGACCCCATGTGTACAGACTAGAACTGCTCCATAGGATTTTTAAGGCTGTGACCTTTTGAAAGCAGATCTCCAGGCCTGTCTTCTGAGGTGCCTGTGGATGAGTTTGAACTGCCACCCTTTCAGCAAGTTGTCAAGTGCTAACCTGTACTACTTGTTAAAATAACATGAGCTATTTGTATGGATATGTATCTGTATGTATATTTTCCAAAGACATTTAATAGAAGTCACTTTCAGACAGCCATTATCAAGAATTTTGAAATTTTAAATACTTTAAAGGATCTTGCATGTAAAAAAAAGGATATTCTACCACAATCCGATTTCTTATGTTCTTAGCGATGTTTAACTAGAAAAGATTAACCAAGAATAAATATGTTACACAATTTTATTTACTTCTCTTAGTGATGAAGAAAAGCAGCCTTGGTAACATACTGATTAAGTGCTGGGCTCCTAACCAAAAGGCAGCAGTTATAATCCACCAGGAGTTTAATTACAGGATCTCTCAGGAGAAAAGACCTGGTGATCAGCTCCCTAGATTACAGTCTAGGAAACCCTATGGGTTGTTCTACTCTGTCATATAGGGTCACTGTGAGTCAAAATTTACTTAGTGTTCTGGTTACCTAGTGCTGCTCTGACAAGAATATACCACAAATGAGATAGCCTTAACAAACAGGAATTTATTCTCTTACAGTTTGGGAGGCTAGAAGTCTGAGTTTAAAGTATCAGGCTGTAGGGGCTGGGTGAAAGCTCCTCAACCTTGACCTTCAGCTCTGCCTCATGCTCCAGGCCCACTGGCGCTAGAGGCTTTTCTTCACTCAGACAGCTGCTAGCTGCTGAGACTGACAAGCCTAAGGTTGACAAATAAAAAGTCACCGTCCTGATGTTACCCAACAACATAGCAGACCATTAACTCAAGTCCCTTGAAAGTCCCAAGGTCAGCAAAGCATGGCAGGCTGCTGAACAATGGTATGGCTACATCCAGGATTCAAGCATGCCATAAGCTAGAGACCATTTCCAAAGCTGTTTCTTAGATATGAGAAGCAGACCACATACCCAAAGCAGCTACTCAGCTACTCCAGTAGATTCCACCAATGGAGTTAATTACCAATCTCACCATGAGGAATAACTACATTCAGCTGCCTAGCCACTCAACCAGGCCCAGCCAAGTTGACACACAAACTTAACCACCACAGTGACATAAAACAATACTTCAGACTTTTCTGTGAAGAAAAGAAAACAGATTTTTTTTTTATTTTATACTTTACCATAGCATATTATATCTCATTAAACATGTCTGAGAAATGTGACTTCATTAGTTGTTTTCAGTTCTAAGCATACATGGGATTTGAGACATTTCTATCAGTCCCTTACAAATGTTATTTCCTCTTTATCTTCTGTGATAGCCTCTCGGTAGTTTGTATTCATTGGATGACTACTACATGATTTTTACATTAAGGAAATGCACAGTAGATAGTGTTGTGCTATAAAGAGAACAAAAGAATCCATGCCTTTTCCTCATTCATTCCTTCATTCAACATATGTTTATATGCAAAACTAAGAGCACTAGGAACACACTAGTGTACAAAACAGACATGATCCCTGATCTCATTGAGTTTGCAGTCTGTATGTGAGATGACAAACATTAATCATATGATTTCATAAATAGGTAATTACAAAGTTTTCACAGAGTGTATGATTTAAGGGCAAAAGGAGGATATAACTTGAGGAACCATCATATGTGCTGCAATCTAAAGAATAAAGAGAAGTAGAATAGTGAAGCAGAGAGCAGAAAGGTGTTCAAGCAAACAGCCTGTGAGCACGTGCTGAGGGGAATGCATGAGTGTAAAGGGAGTGGAAGGAGCAT